GTTCTCTGCAAGACCCGTCGTCGCTTCGGTAGCGGTCCTAGTGGCCTCGCTCATGTCTCACTAGGCCTGCCTGACTCAGGCACTCACGACCACATGTGCTACATGCGTTCGATGTCGATGGAGTACAACCCATCGGTGCTTGCCGCTTCTTTTCTGCATGCATAGGAGCTTCTCCCGCATTCGGCAAAGGCCTTCGTGATTAACTCACGCCACGCACGCCGATCAACCGCCTTCGATTCCCATGACCTGCAACCAAGATTAGAATGTGAGAGGCTCACTTTGATCATCTCTTGGTAACATAACTTTAGTTTCCGCACTTGTCGCTTCCCAATACCTGACTATATAATAGTTGCTTCGGTATCCGCGTCGAATCCATACGCCACCACAGGTGTCTAAGTAAAAGTATGCAGTCCACTGTATACATCCCACTTTGTCGCAGCACTTCCGTGTCAGCAACTCTGTCGCCCCAGCCGATGCGCAAAATCCGTCGCAAGGAATGCCGATGGAACCGCTCGAGATATCGCACATCCTGACGGTACATCGTCCACGTTTCACTGCCGTATAGAAGAACGGACAGCACCATGGATTTGTACACCATCAGCTTCGTGCCAATGGTAAGCTGATGGTTGTTCCACACTCGGTACTCTAGCTTCCCGAATGCCGCCGCTGCCTTCGACACGCAGATACGAAGCTCACTCTGTAGCTGCTGGTCAGTCGACATCACACCCCTAAGATAGCAGAAGCAGGGGGTGGTTTCCCATACTTCAGCACCAATCCTGATTCGCGGAAACATTGCAGTTTGCACCTCTGGTGAAGGCTGAAAGAGACAGACAGTTTTGCTTGTGTTGATGGTGAGCCCGAATTTGCCGCTGTCGAAGCTAGAGCACTAGTTATGTGCTGCAACTCATCCGCGCTGTGTGCAAACACCGCACAGTCGTCAGCAAACAGCAACATACGGATCGTCGTCTCACAGACGAAACGACGGAGGTTCAGCAACCCACCATCAATACGGGGCTCCACACGAACACCATAAGCACAAGCCGCATCAAAAGCACAAGACATCATGGCATGACGATATATATTAAACAGGGCAGGAGCTCAGACACAGCCTTGTTTCACACCAGAGACATCTGTAATGTCATTCAAGGTCTCTCCACTCAGCTGCACCCTCGCTCGTGTACCACTGTGCAGACATTCAAGTAAACTTACAAACTTACGCGGGCAACCAAACATACCCAACACCAGCCACAGTGCATCGCGGTTCCCCGCATCAAATGCTTTCATGAAAGCAACAAGAAGAGAGTACAACGGCTAGTGTAGTTCTCTGCACTTCTCCTGCAAATGACGAGCCGCAAACACCATATCTATAGTGCTGCGACCCGAACGGAATCCGCAATGTTCTTCCGCCATGTTAGGTTCCACAACCTGACTGAGGAGGCGGTTGAGCAGGATTCGAGCAATCACCTTGCCCACACAATTCAACAAGTTGATGCCACGATAATTCGTGCAACCTTGCATGCTCCCATTGCGCTTGTACAGGGGTAGCACGAGGGCATCCTTCAGCTCAGGAGGCACCTCCTCCTCAATCCATACGCGTTGCACCAAGTGGTGCAGCGCAGTCGACAATGCGGGTCCGCCGTGTTTCAAGATATCAGGCGGGATCCCGTCAGCCCCAGCATAGTTGGTGTTTCGCAGCTGAGCAAGTGCTCCCTGCGTCTCATCCAGTGTCGACATGTCTGCCAGACTCGTCTTAACATCGTGCTGCTTGAGTCCGTTCAAAGCCAGCCAATCAATCACTGAACGGTTGTTCAAGAGACAGTCGAAGTGCTTCCGACAGATCTACATTATGTCTGCAGTCTGCGTGCAGGTAGCGCCTGAACCACGATCGATCAGCGTCCTCAGCGGCTCCAATCTCGGTCCATACACCGCATTGAAAGAGTCATAGAATTCCTTGTTGCGGCGTTCGGCGTAGCATTCCATCTAATTTGCCTTCTCCGTTCACCATGCACTTTTTATGTGACGGAGCTCTCGGGTCAGTCGCTGTCGAAGTTTGCGAAACTGACTACTCTTCCCCAAGTCAGTGGGGTCTGCCACATCTGCAGCAAATGCTGCATTCTTCTCACACACCAATGCGCCAATCGTCGCATTGTTCTTATCAAACCAATCAGGCCGCTTAGAGTTTGCGCGCCCGATGGTCTGTTATGCATCGGCTATCACTTGGTTGCGAATGTGGTACCATAGGTAGCCCACTGTTATTATGTATTTTACATCACCCAGGAGTGCAACCATCGCCTTCACCAGCTCAGTACGTTTCGACACAATACCGAGGGAGATAATGTTAACTTTATGCCGATTCACGGCGGGAGTGCAATACATAGATTTACGAAAAGATATGTACAGTTTAGTGCGCACCAACTTGCAATCAATGCCACACTCAGCTCCACGCAGTACACGTGTCATGCGCACTTCACGCATATCACGCTGAGGTACGATGACATAGTCGAGCAGGTGCGCGTGACCACTCCGTGGGTGCGTCCAATTTGCTGTATCACTCGCACTCAGTGCAAACCGAGTGTTCGTGATCGTTAGGCCGTGAGTGGCCCACAGTGAGAGCAGCCTGTCACCGTGCGCATTTGCTGAACCAATGCCATGCGGACCGATGACATCTATCCAGAGCGATGCATCACGTTCAACGCGCGCGTCGAAATCACCCAGCATGAAGAGTCGGCCGCTCCTCGGCACAGACCGTATGACGAAGGATAGCTCAGTGTAGAATTGATCATGCGTGTCATCATGATAACACATGGTCGGACCGTACGTGCTTATAAAAGTGGCAAACTTCCGAGTCGTAGGCGAACAGTCATCAGTCGCGCACTGATGCCTGTTGGTTCACCCACCAGCTGGCCATGGAGTTGATCGGATATTACAAATCCCACCCCACGATCACGTGGTGCTGAGGCGGCGTCGCCCACCCCGTAGAATGTGTAGCTAGCATCTGCTTCATGCAACTTACCTTGCTCAGCGAGTCGAGTTTCACTGAGCGCCACAATAACGATGTGGGAACGCGCCAGTTCCATCGCGACGCGTGAGGTGCGTCGCTCGGGGCGTACACCGGTATTCCGGTCCAGTGGTGTGCGCACGTTCCAGCACCCGATGCTGACTGCTTTGCGCGCAGGCATACCATTGCATTGGTGGGCAACCGCACGCGAGATGGTCGTTGTGCTTCGGAGGTTTGTTTGAGGGACTGCGCACAGAGCCTTTGTCTCAGCAGCCTGACACACAAGGCAGTGCGTGGTTTGCAGGTTTGCTTTAGGGACTCCGCCCAGAGCCTTCGGCTCAAAAGCCTGACCCACAAGGCAGTGGGGGGGGGGGGCAGATCCAGCTCGGAAATGTGATTGCAGAGACAGATTGGGATCTGCTTGACGGCCGTCACACGCAGCCTTGGAGGTAATGGAATGATTAAATATATATTTACGACCGTAGTATGGTACATCTGCGACCCACGGCCAGATGCAGGTGGGTTTCGGCGGGTTTGCACCAATTTGACCCGGGGGCGACCGGGCCTGAGGCGGGCAGTCGCAAACCATTGAACACCCGGAGGTGCCCTCCCACCGTCAGAGACAATGCGTGGCGCTCGTGCTATACGCCAAACGAGTGGTGAGCTTATAACCCGCAGACCTGTTGTCTCCCATGGCTAGGTTTTACGGGAACAGAGCCATCGACCACTTCCTAACCTTCGAAGAGGATCCTCAAAAGTTCCAGTGGATGTTATCGGCGTTAACGGGGTGATTTCATAATGGTGCATTTAATCCTGAGTAACCTCAAGCACACATGCCATTCTCATTTGTCACTCAGTAAAACACACCTCTAAGAAGTTACTTGACGAACACTTTTCCGACGCAAAATATATAAATCGGAACTCAACCTAACGGGTACATCTACATGAGCGACGATTGATGCAGCTACACAGAGCAAGCTCTACTCGCTGTTTCGAACCAGTACTCAGTATAAGCTAGTCACGCAGTACACCTGATTGCAAGTGTCATAGCCATGGAACGCTCTCTCGGCATATGCAATTAATCCCTTTTCAAAAACGACTTGACGATACTCTGACACATTTACAGTACGTGAATTAGCCAATCACCAGCAGATGTTGGCATTATTGCACAACAAACTGTGGACAGTGTCATAACCCTACTCGCACATCAGTTATTCCCAAACCCTATGGTGAGTCCTGTATTTCACGCATTCTTTTTCTGGCACCACTTTTGTACTTTGTAATTATCAACCTAACTATCCTACAGGACATGTCAAGCATTTGCCTGTATACCCGTCATAAACCATTGCTTCATAGCAAGCGACAAATAACCGCACCCATGCACTCATTCCTCGCTAAATTGTATACCAAAAGTACATCAAGATAATTATGGTTGCTAAAAGCAAGCTTTATTATCACATGGATAAATGCAAACTAAAGTAATTTTCAAGCAAGACAACACTGGGAGCAGAAGGAATTGATGGGACTCGATGAAACATATAGCGAAACAGATTCACCGAGGCAGTGCGTAAACCTCGCATGCATGCCATGATTGCCCCTCCTCAATCCACATTGGTAGATTCACTTTGAAAGCTGTTAGCTAGCGTACGACTGCCACGGATCAATCTCGAAGAGACTTTTCGTACCAACGACAGACACGCTGCATCGACTCCATAAAACACAACATAACTTCGGCCTCGGTGCGTCCAAGCGTTGAAATTGGAGCAACATCCAATAAGCGATAATGAGAGGTGAGGCCATGTGGACATGTAGAGCATACCTGAAGCCTGTATCTAGTGCACAAGCGTTCAATACTGGCCACGTTGTGTTCCAGTGTGTTCATACGAAGCCAACCACTGAGTTGCATTCCAGTGCCAACATTACGCAAGCTAGGGCTCAGGAAACCCCACTGAGCACTCCGACTGAACTGTAGCCTGGAATCGAGCCAAGACATCAATTTAGTTGCCCTTGAGTAAGCAAGGTAAGGCTGTTTTCCTGTCCAATCAATACAAAGCACACGCAGATGATCGTCTCCGTTAATCTGCGCGACCAAATCACAGTTACTGTAATTTTTCGGTGCCAAATACACACTCCTACCTTGTGGCCAAAACCGAGCGGTCCCACTGCTCTGGCGTACCGCATTTTGCGTTGGCATCAGGAGCTGTTTTCGTTGCAAATTCTTGAACAGGCTGGGGTTTTGTTCCTCAAATTCACACAGCCGGTACCAACACCCAACTCCCTCTTCCTTCCAGCTGAGTAGAGCATCTTTGCAAAGCTGTTCCACGGACTCAAAATCTCGTCTACTCATTACGGGAGGGAATCCGAAACCAGCAAGGTTACGGGCAAAACGAACACGATAACGCAATAAATAACGAGAATCTGCCTTTGGGCGGGCAATGTTTGGTATTTCATAGTTTGAAAGTGGCTGTGATCTAGCGTTGAGGCACAGGGCAAAGTTGCCGAGTATAGGATCTAGCAGCTCACGGAAAACATTGAATGCATCTGGATCGGTAGCTCTGGGATGATGCTCCTTCGGGCAGTAAGCGTTTCCACGTATGCAATGTGCCAGCGACCCGTGATAAGATGTGTAAACTGAGCGAAGCGCTTTTCCGAAATCACGAGAGAGGAATTCGTTGGAAGTGACAAACAGCTTGCTTGCTCGCTTACGAAGCAGATGGAGCAAATAATCCATTGATTCCACTGGCATGACAAGTCGCTTTAGCTGATGAGCAGAACGGGCCAACTCCATACTCAATTCCCTCAAGCGTCTGACTCCGATCAAAAGTTTTCTAACTTGCTGTAGATCAGGTATAAACTGTTCAGACATGGTGTACAAGGTGATAGTATCCACACTTTTACTAAACTTCATGTTTCCACGTTTAGAAGTCAGAGACACTCCCAGGCCCAAATCATTTAAACCGACGACGGAAGACACATCATGCATCTCTGAGTCTATCAATCGAGCCAAAATTGGAGCTCTGAAATGCATTCTGACAGAGTCTTGGATGCATGAATTTTCCGACTTTCCAGTGCTTGACCTAGCTGTCTGATTGCTCGCATAACGCGTGCCCTTTTGCACAAGTTCCGCTAACAGACCTATGCCATGATCGTAAACCACACCCAAACGTCCATCGTTCGAGCTCACCAAAACATGCAAATGGCAGTCGTGATTGAGTAACCCACCAACGACGAGCCGAAGCGTGTCAATTTTCCATGCAGCCACACTGCTGTGGTTACACAATCGCTGTTCCTTCTGGATGTGATCCCACCACGGCTTCGGTGGTCGAACGTGACGTGGCCCAGAGGTGAACATGTACACACCACCACAAGCCCTCGTTTTAGAGACGGTTCTTATGGGTAAGTACTTGTAGATGTTTCCAACTCTGACAAGGAAGCTCTTAAACTCTCTTGGGCGCTTTTTGACCGCTGGATCCATGAGTGTTCGGTGCGTTGAAGAATCCGTGAAGTTTGTGGCCGACCTCACATCCCCGCTCTCATTGAGAGGTGGCGGATAGGTAGAACTTAATGAACTAGTGTCAGAGGGTTTGGATTTTATGGATGATGACATAAATTTCGTGGCAACAGCGTTCTGTAACTTGTGTTCCAGTAAAGTGTGGACCATACGTGCATCCACATCCGTCAAACAAGAGGGAGGGGCCACACTTTGTAAATTTCGCTTAAGTGACACCTCCACATAAGTACAACAGAACAGCTTGGACAAATCGATCAAATTTCCTTCGCATTCTCCTGTACTGCTGGCAATGTCAGTCACTGAACCGTTAAGCATATTAATATCTAAATTTTTCATCTTGTTAGATCTCTTTGATTTAGATGATTTCGACGCGTGGGTCGAGGCACTCTGCAACTTTTCGAACGGCTCGAAATGCGTTACTGGTTTGCGAGGAAGTTGTCGAACGCGCAACGGTGCTAACTTCTCTGGGCGAATATCATTATCCGATGGAGTTAGGACAGAACGCAAAAGTGCTGATGTTGTCATCCCGGTAGATTCTGCACCTGGTATGACCGTTTGAATTAGATACGTCCCATTCGCCTCAAACTTAACGTGCACTCTCATGGAAGGCGGCTCACTACCAACCGGTGCACTGGTGGACAAACAAGGTGTCATGTGAGTAAGTTGAGGTCCAGTAGACCTATTTGGAGTAACCATAAAATTCGGCGCAGTTATTGTTTGCGTCCCTCTCTGTTTTGTCATTTTGCGAGCGTGTAGCTGCGCTTCACATCGGGCACACGTTGGCCGGACTTCGGTGACAGAGGTCACTGGGGAATAGGAGCAGGTGAAAGGACACACTGTTGTATGTCTTGTCAGCGATTGTTGCACCAGTAGGCTTGTCGGACCATCTTTATCGCATTCCAAAGTGGAGGACGAAGAGCAACGCTCAGGGATTGCCACATAGTGTGTGGCAGGGCACGTAGGTTCACCTAGCCAAGAGCAGTCATTTAGAGTTTGAGTTAAGTTTGGTACATCCGTAGGGATAGGGAGCGAGTGATCAAAAGGAGATGATGGGCCATCTGTAAAAGACCGGTATACATTTGGTCTACTTACATTCGGTGAAAGTGTGTTCGAGCACGCCTGGTAATTTGGAGGCAAAAGAAATGCAATCTCTGGTTCAGTGTTTTCTAGACATGGCGCTAGATCTGGCACGTTTGTAGGATGCAACGCATGCCACGAATCATCTGCATAGTGCCCCACGAGGCTAACACGAGTATTCGGTACCGGAATAGAAGGTCCAGTAGTGCCGTCCGTCTGCAAGGTGTCTTGCTCCGCTTGTGTCCAGCGAACTTCATGCGTTGTTGAGGTGCAGCCAGGATTTTGATCGGCAACTAGAAATTCAGAGGGGTATGCAGGGTCGTAAGCGTCGGAACTTTCTTTCGGAAGCAGTCCACTAGGAACACGTGGTCGACCGTCCAGCGACTCTGCAGCGAAGAGTCGATCAGCAGATGGAGTGCCACACTTCCTCCTGCCCGTGTGTTGCTCCATACGAGTACACTTCATACCCGCCGTGGTGGTGGTCGTGGTACTCAGATGGAGTTCGTCGAACAGAATAGTAGAACTCATGTTTGGGATCGTAGAACTACCATATGTGAACCGTTTGGGTGAATTCGCTGATTCTAAAGAGCCAAGAGTTTCCAAAAATGGGGCAGTTGTGGAAGAATACTCTTCAAAATGTTTCAAACTGGCCAGTCGATGATATGGTTTATCTGCAAGTGTAGTTAACAATGGATCTTCGATAAGAAGTTTTGCTCGAAGCGAAGGAGAAAAATCGTGAGCCTGAATACTGACCTTTTCTCCTGCTATGGTGCTTCTTGTCGCAAGGCTTTTGCACTGGTTCGAATCTGAATCACCCATGTTACAAGTCAACAATTCTTCTTCTGTTGCACAGAACATCAATGTCATGTTCAAGTTGACATTTTTCTTTCCGTTCTCGGAACAAAGTTCAGCCGACGGCACCGGGTGATCGCCAAGTTTGCAAGACACAAGGTCTGCCTCATGGCCCGTGCATGAAAGTGACTCGGTTTCTGCGTGGATGGACAATAACCTAGCAACAGGATGCAGTGGAGCCGGTTCAACCACTAAGGACAAACTTTTAGTGGAACATTTACCGCAGTGAAAGGTACTTGTCCAGCACATTACGGATCAGAAAATGTGGTCGTCAGATCGAACTGGTTTGTACAAATCATTAAGCTGAAATGGCCAATGCCAACAAGGAAAAAGCTGCCATTATTGTGCTAGTAATCGCACAGTTATTGTCCGCCTATTGTGAAATACTGGCGTGGCACTGGTGTGGTTGCAAATATCGATTACAATTTTGAAGGTCAAGAAAGACAGAGATGCAAAACTGAGCTACATGCAACTAAATGTAGCGTTACGCGATTACAGTGGTCGTAATCTATGCCTCAAAAGCGCACGGAAGCCGCCAAAGTGGTAATCACCTTCAGCCGCTACACTACGCTTTAAGTTCGAAATAACGCAATGGCTGGTCAGTGCCTGTGAAATTGCCTGTCCAAGTGCAATGTGGTGCATGAAACCCCAAATGGAAAATGACAAATTGTCAGGAGCCACGGTGTGGATAGTAAACGGATTAAAACGATAGCGAAGGATGAACAGCATTTAGATCTTACACCGCATGGTGTCTATTGTTGTATAATCACCAAGCATCTCATTCATGTGAACTAATGTAAAATTGCTGAGAGACGGTGAAATCGAATGCGAGTCTAAAGCTGATGATCTGAAGACGTAAGCAGTAGCCCACATAAGCTACAGAAATATCGGAACATCCAAACACAAGACACCTGCTTTGCCGAGAAAGCCAAAGGTGGCAACATCGCTAATGCTGTCAAAAGTTACATAGGCGACTCTGTCGAACAAAATTTAGATGGGTAAGTTTACGGTCACTGAAGCTTTTGATTCGTGTTTGCCACTCACTAGCCGACATCCGGCGGGACACATAAAGCTCTGGCTCATCGATCCGTTGTAATATACCAGTATACATTTACCCTCTAGGGTGAAATATGGCTTAGGAGAATCCGCATACAGTAGCCTAATTCAAGCAAATAAAATGTTTTAAATACACAAGAAATGTGAATAGTTCAGCTACTGCTAGTATCAGAAGATTTTCTGTAGCAGTCGAACTGATGACAAAATCTATACAAGGTACACAAAGCCAATTTCTTCAAAGGTGGCACATCCTTTTTGGTGGTCGAACTGTTCGCTGAGCCCGGTATTTTTGATGCGCACGTTTCGCCACCAATCGAGATGATACCGTCAATGTGTTGTTGAGCAGCGGATCGTTGAATTAGGGAATTTAGTCTCGTTAATTTTACTGTAGACCTGCATTCCCATGTCATAAATATTAAAAATTTGACACGTATAGATCGGATATCCCGGTGGAACGCATGAGACCGTTCTGAGCTTTTCAGCTTACAGATTTCCCATTGGTAAGAGCAAATTCCAGGCGGTGCAACAGTTTGTCTACCCTTATGACCCACTAAGTTATACCAGGTAGTTCTTTTCGATATTTTCCTAGTTAGTCCAACACCATCATCATCAACAACTGCGGTACATCAGCCATTTGAACTGATGCCTCGCTGCCCTACAACCAAAACGATCGAAAAGTTAGATGAAGGAGAGAAGGGTTACTCACTGGAAAACCTGAACGCTCTAAGCAAAGATGCAGGGTCAAGGCGCCTACACTTTGTCAACATAATATCCCAAATAGCTAACTATTTTGCAAATACAAAGCGGCATCTGCGAGAGAGCTTCCTTGCGGCTTTTACTGCCCCGCGTCGTAATCAGCCATTACCCCGTAGATAACTCAACACCAAACACACTTTAAACAGACAGTCCGAGCAGGAGACGACAGCAGTCGCGCCATTTGTGTCGACGGCCAGCAGTGCCCTGTGGCTTCTCGAGCCATACATAAGGCGGGTTACGTGGACGCCAGTATGCAAAACGATACGGATCAACAAGACCAAGTATTTTACTAATTGACTCCATTTCCTGCTGCCAAGTCAACTTTTGTCTACCTGGAGCCTTGTGCCACCCTACATCTGGCAAACGAAAGCAGGCCCTCCTCAGTAAGCGGGGACCGGGCATACAAAGTACGTGCCCGAGCCAACACAACTTATTCAGTGCTATCTGTTGTTCTAAGGAATTAGCATGGTTATCACAGCCAATACTCGACCACGCACATCATCGTTGCGGACATGCCAGTGCCACCCGACACCAGCAATGCTCCGGACGGTGACCGAGTGGTCTGTACGCCTGGCTTGCAATCATAAGGTCATCGGTACGAATCCGGGAAGGCGCGGGATCTTCGCGGTATACTCAGCCCAGCGAGACTGGTGGTGGTCGCGCGGCATTGAAGTGTCGTTACGGCGTACAGCTGACACTACCGCAGACAGCGATGATCAGGGTTCTGAAGACGTTTCAGATCCTCAGATCGAAGGGGCCCAAGTTTCACTACCATAGGGTAGAACGATCCTCACTGTGGCCTTGTAAACACGGTCTTTCAGACCGAAGGAAACTCCTTTCTGACGTCAAAGATGTCTCAGATTCAAGAAGGTAGTTCTGGCTTTGCAGTGCGTGAACTGACTTCCGTTTCTATGCGTCTACCGTTGCTAATGCAGGTGCCAAGTTAAGTGAACTGATCAACTACCTCGAGTTCCTCGTTATCAAGGGTCAAGCGGTCATCAAGTGGTTGGTGATCCTGCAGCAACACTTTGCACTTTCATGCAGGCATTTCTCCTCGGGAATTTCAATAAAGCAAGAAACAACATTTTAACAGAATATACTGAATCCAGCAATTTCGTGTATTCTCTTCAGCTATTTACATACAATTTGTGGAATAAACAGGTTATATAGAATAGACAAACAGAGTGCGATGTTAACGACGAAAATACAAAACGGTCGAATGCCATTAGGCTCACATGACTCTTTCTGAGGAAAACGCAATCATTAGCCTCACAAAGGGAGGGCGAGACTGTTCACGAAATCCGTTTGTTTGCATAAAATGGATTTCAACTGTCGAATCGCCATCGTAGTAGACTAAAATAGGCGAGCAGTAGCTTGTTTGCTTATTACCCTGAAATTGCCACATGGGTTTTGGCATCCAGGGCAATCAATCATGTGACGGGAAATAGAGCTAGTTGGTAGCTTGGGGCCTTGGCTATCATGTTTCGCGGGACATGCTCTGCAATCCGTGCTGAAAGTCTTCGCTCAGTTCGACCTATGTATTTGCTACCGCAAGCACAGTTAAAGAGATAGATGTATGAGGCGGTAACTTAAGAGTCCGGTCTGTCTAGGTTGGATTTGCAGAGCAACCCTCGAACTTGGTGTAATGTCACTAGATCAACCGCATCCTAACACTTCTTTGTGGATTAACGGAGGCGACGTCGGCGTCTGTCAGTTTCGTCCCCTCTGAACTGAGGCTGTATTTAGTAACAAGTAAAAAGTTTTCTATGAAACTCTATAGAACTATGAAAACGTAACATCATTTAATTGCGAATCGTCAGCGGTAGTGTCTGGTCAGTTACTCCTTTATTCTTGTTCGGTTAGAAATTCGTATTGGTGCCATTATTTCCGGGTATAGAATGTATATTTTTTCACTGTATGTACACCGTTCCACAAAATCACAGGTTTCCGAAATAATCGTCGATAGTTGTTTTAAAACAGTTCACAGAATCGGCCTCTATTAGTCCTACTGGTAGTGTATTCCATAAGCTTAACATTCTTCGTTCTATACAAAGCTGATGTGATACCTTGTTCATGCAGGGGACCCTGAGTTTGTAACGGTGTCCTCGGGTGTTACAGGGTTCCGGCATGGGTAAAATATTGGCCGCAGTATGGGGAAGTGATTCAAGTGTAGTATTCGATGGGTCATAATAAGGTCAATTTTTACTCAGCGGTAGAATAGTGTGTATATTCCGAGCCTTTCACAACGTTTTTCATACGGAAGCTTTCGTAGACTGGGTATCATTCTAGTTGTGAGGTGCTGTATTTTCTCCAGCTTTTCCGTTTCCCACTGGGTTATTAGATGATAAGCCGTGGCACCGTATTCAAGAATTGGTCTAATAAGCGAACTGAATAGGCGAGGGACGGTTTCTTCGGACCATGAGAAACCGTCGTAATACCCAGAGCAAACTAAGTCCCGACGGTGTAATGAATACCTTTTTCGTAGGGACATCTGTTGGTGGTTTATATCTGGACTGTAGTTTCGCGTGCCGTTCTATGAATCACGTGGGAAATATATGCTCTTAAGGTTTTAGTGTGACTCGTTCGAGTTCACGTTCCATTGTGTCCGAAGAGCAACGGTGACGAACAAAAGTGGTACGGACTAAAGCTCGTTTGTAGTTTATTGGACAGAAAATGTTATAGATCAAGTATTATCCCGCCCGTGTTGATTATCCGCACACAGATCGAACAAGTGTACCTCTTGGATTTCTCTGTAATTTAACATATAAGAAACGGAAAGATCCGTCGGATTTGTTTGCCACTGTGAACTTAACAGCTGGAGGGCACATATGCATCATTTCCAATAAGTACGCCGCCTAATAAGGTGTGTCCACCACAACGAATGTGCCATCCACAGAGAGGCCATAACAGTGTACATTTAGTATGTAAGAACATAATCCAGTGTTTTCCAGGTGGCCCATGGATATATCAGCCAAAACTGGGCCTAACGGACTACCCACGGCCACGCCGTCGCTATGTCGATACAGGCTTCTATCGAACCGGAACTGAATTTCATTTGTGCATAGGCGCAGTAATGAGTTGAGCTGTAGCGCTGGGAGCTCAGCATTGTCAGCGTGTCTGGCTATTATATCTAACGTTTCCTCCAAAGGGACGCTCGTGAACAATGAACATGTATTGAAAAAACCATATGCTTACCCTACGTTCAAATTACGTGTCTTGCTGACACACTCAAGCGTGTCTTTTAGGCTGTAGTTGGTCAGTTCCGCACGGATAGGCCCGGTAACTTTCGCTAGCCATCGCGCTAATTTTTGCCATGGCGCATCTACCGTTGAGACTATTAGGCATATTGGGATACGTTCGTTATGAGTTTTCGGTAAGTCATTCATGTGAGAAAGTCGTGATCCTAGGGGGAGTAAGTGGGTCATGGTTGTCGCATTTACCAATCCGGCTTTCACTAGTTGCTTCAATTCACGGACTAGTAGCATCTCTACCTACTCGGTTTTGTCGCGGTTTGCCAAATCACGAACGAAACGGTTAGAGTCTGCAGGAAATGTTTGAACTTTCTGGATGTAGCATTCTAAATCCCAAATTACGACGCCTGATCCGTTGTC